AAAAAAAAAAAAAAAGCACAAATCTATTTTAAAGCTATTTCCTTATATTATATTTTGACTCTTGTGCATAATGCAAAACAAATGCTTCTGTTTTGGGACAATTTACTGTATTAGTTACAGGCCTCTGAATATCAAAAAAACTGCACTAATGAAGAAAAAGGGAAACAGGTCAGCACAATATACAAAAAACAAAACAACAACATATTGCTGTTATATAATAAAAGGAGCAAAATCTTTTACAATACCACAATGTGGCAAACGATATAATACTCTGACTTTCAATAGTGGTACGTTTTTATTCAAGAGAGCCAACACCATGTTGGAGTCGTATTCTAAATTACGCATGACGATGTGCAAGGGATTCCTATGTGTCCCCTGTAAAGTACTGGCAAATTTATTCCTTCATTCATTTTCAGTAATTGCATTGTTGTGGTCTGGGTCACGGTCGATCCAGAGCTTATTCTTGCCAGCAAGTTTTTGACAGGTGGGAAAAGACTGAAGATCCTGGACGAAACGCACGTGGACACAATGCTACCCGCTGCACCATCGTGCCACTTAAAATGTATAAAGCATTCTTTCACATGAATTTGATAAAACACTAGTGTTCAAAACCCGGGTCACTGGAGGACTAGTGGTTAGGTCTCGGCACTTTGACCTCCACGCTCTGGGTTCGATTCCTGGCCAGGGAACAAGACGGTGCACTCCCAGTGCCGGTCCCAAGCCCGGATAAAACTGGGGAGGGCTGCATCAGGAAGAGCATCCGGCGTAACAACTGCGCCAAATCAAATATACGGACCAATGAGCCGCTGCGGTCATCCCTAACAGGAGCAGCCGAAAGAAGAGCAACAACTAGTGTTCAAAACACAGATACTTATACCAGTGTGGTAAACTACTGGGGAAATGTTCACTGAAAACCTGTTGTGTATTTAACGTAAACAAGCGTTCGCCAGGCTCCCAAGTGGATCAACAGAGAAGCAAATTATCTCTAATTTGAATCGCAACAGTACCACAACTATGCGTGGCCAGGGACCATGGGCAAAACTGGTCATGCTCTCAGGGCAGGAGGGATGGTGTACTCTCCCACCCCTGTCAATCACTGCCGCACTAGCCAATCCTGGGCATCTGTGAGCAAATCTGTGAGTATGCAGAAGAGGGTAGATAGCGCTTTCCCCAGAGTGACGCAGCACGAGCGGCTGAGGTTGGGTTCACGTGTCTTAGAGGAAGCAGATCCTTCACCCTTCTGTGTTGGTAGCAGTCATATGATAGGGGAGAGCTGGCTAGGGGCAAGTGAACAATTTTGGGAAAACAATTTAACAAACAAAAGTTAAATTGCATTTACGGTGATTGTCAGATGTAAAACACACAGGTGAAGTGTTGATTTTATTCATGTGAGTTTGCACCCGAGAAATAATCAACATACAGAGGAGAAAAAAAAAAAAAAAAAAAAAAAAAAAAAAAAATTT